TTGAAGAAAAGTTTACTAGCGATTGAGCTTTCTTGAAAACTGCCAAATATACCTTTCGTCCTAGCACGTACAAAATCGCACCCGCAGTGATCTGTCCGCTGAAAATTCGACACACCGCTAACTTTACGATCCTCAAATCGAACAAATTTCACAACAAGTGCCACAGTCGGTCCTAAAGGGCTGTTCATTTCCACTTTACAAATTTGAAGTGGTGAGGGATTGCATTACCTGTAGGAGAGCAGTCCTTTATCGCTTGAGCAAGCGGGTGATTCTCCTTGTTTCCAACTAGATACTGCATCCTGTAACGAACTCATCTCAATGTCCCAAGCCCTAGATAAAAACCTACCAACGACACAAATAACTTCGATAACCTCACCGATGATTATTTCTGAAAGCAGTTCGCGCAGAGGGCGCACGAGCACATGCCTTGAAACATGCCACTGGAAGAGGAAGCCACGTTCTCATGCCCTCATCAAAGGCATCGTGAATGCGACGAGATTTTATAGTCACTCCAAGTTTACCTGAAAAGACTCATTTCAACGGCGATGACACGAATATAAGACAGCAAGGATGGAAACCTGCCCCACCCCCTTTGGAAAACTGAGTTCACTGAGACTTAAATTATTTTTTTTTATTTTTAGAAGTCAAAATTATAAGAAGCATTTGGCATAGGATGGTCGTTGTCGACCAAATCCATCCCGGTGCTTCACGGTCTCGAATTCCATTCGGAGCTGTATATGTCGCAATTCCGTGTGCACGTGCAGTTTTGAAGCTTGTTCGATGTCTGATGTTCAATGCGATGGCATGCTCCATCAAGCAACTCTTACTAATCAGCCACTTCAGATGCTCCGACACCAGGGATTGGACAGAGCCTGACCATGTTGGGGCCCAAGGCATATGTCAAACAAGTGTTTTCTTCCCCATACCACCAAGCCATCACCAAAAAAACGTATCTGCTAAAGGCACGAGTCGGGATTGAATTGATGCGTTATTTTGTTCGAAAATTAGGCAAGGAGGTGCAATGAGGAACATTAGTGAGGAGAAAAAGCAAAAAGCACCATAGAAACACTAAAAATTTCCCTTATGATGCTTACCGTGGTATGACGGAGACACGGTGGGGACCCCTCTTTCACCTCAGAAAGGACTGACTCTTGGGACCTAATCCCGACTCGTGGCTTCAAATAGAGAACTATTGAATCCGTGAAGTGATTCCTCGCATTTCATCAGACTCGCGTCACACTCACTAAGAGGCGTTCATTTCTTAGGATTAGGTCAATTCACCACAGATGTGCGTTGGAAAGAGCTTGCGTCCGATGACACAACTCAGGACGAGGTAAGAAAAAAGTTGCAAATGCCATAAAGCTGAAGAGCAGGAGCCATGGACGATGGGTAGGAGACGCAGTTGTGGCAGCAGATGCTCTAGAAACGACGCTATAAGGCACCAAACCCTACCGGATTCACCCTTGCTGGTCCGCCCGCCCACAGTGATGGTATCTCATAAACGTCATTATCGCTGACTTGCATGCTTTCTCATCGAGGAGGATTTCTTTCTCTATTCGACACCTATCACTCTCATCTCGCTGCCTGCCCTTGATCTATTGTTTCTGAGCTCAGGCTTGGACTTGTGCTTAGTCCTAAATCTATGGTTAGGCATGGAACGAGCAAATAAATCAATGAAGTCATAATTTGAGGTACTGGGCTTAAAGGCATGCCCCAGGATCACATTGGTGTGGCTCTTGCACACGAATGCGAATGTATTGGTGCGAAATGGGCCGGCAGTAAAAAAGGAAAAGAATCCGTCAAAAACGCTTAGGTTAAGGGCTCACTCACCTTCCTAATCGGCTGTGCTAAGGGAATGAGAGACTAAGCGCGGAGAGGAGAGTATGGCCGCTGAGAGGAGCGTTAACAGATGGAGCAAGCGCCAGACAAAACCTGATCAGAGACAAATAATTGAGCTTTCGCAGGCTTAGCTTTGCAATTCCCAAGCCGTATATTGGTTTCCGGCATCAGGAATACGCCATATTTGTGACTTAGTCCACTGGGGGTCTGTGCTACAAGACCGAAGGGGAGCGTTCACTCACCTCTGCCTGGGTTAATACTGCCTTTAATAAAGCCACTAAGTACAGTCGCTAGACAGAAACTGATTTCACCTTGGAAGCTATCTTGTAGAAGTCGCGCGTAATAGGCACTGACGAGCAAGCACGTGAACGCTACCGGGAAAAAACACTCCACAGACCATTCATCTCAGTGTGGAGCTTACTACTTGCTCCAAAGGTAGCGGCGCCAATAGCTTGGCGGTACCGTGAGTGGAAGTCATTTGGGAAAAGCCCCTTGGAGGTGTAGTCCTACCGTCTCCCAGAACCTTCACCAGTAACGTTTTGTTCACCACCTCAGACCCACCGAGGACACCTTTTGACTTCGGATAGGAGCTCTTCCAAAACATAGAAATACATTTCTTTCGATGCATTATAAACCAACCCATTAATTCAACCAGTTTTGGTAAGTCATTATTGACCAGTCCGCAATCGTGAAGGGCCCAAAGTGGATCCAGCACAAGTTGTACAAATAACGGCTTCTTCCCACGAGATGCAGCATCTTCCTAAAACAGAGACTCTGAAAATTCTACCACAATACCCTACTTTCTCACTGCATACTTTGATTTTTCCAGCAGCTATATAAAAATCTCCGAATAACGCCTTTGACAACTCCAATTTAGGAATTTTCAATTTTTCAGCATACATCTCAGCAAAATCTTCCACTCCAAACGCGTAGCAGTGAATTGCCGATGAGAAGATGACGTTCCCTGAATGAAAATAACTATGCTTCCAGAACTCCTCACATTTCTCCAACAGATACCTTTCACTGGATCAAAGGAAAGAGCAGCTTCGACTTCTTCTATACTCTCCGTCGAATTATTCTCGAGATTCTCCAGCATAAAACCTTGAATTACCTGGAACTTTTAGCAATTTTAAAAATTCTCTACCGCAAGAATGTTTTTCGAAACAAGCTTAAAGGGGTTAAGTTGGACAGTTGATAGACCGATAGCTTTTGCTGCACATTTATGATAAAAGCGATGGATAAGAAAATGAGCATATGCAGAAGCAAAAGAATGGGCTCGAACTTATGTGCGTTCAGTTAATTCATTAGTTACCTTGATTATTTTCTTTCAATAGGCGCATGCATTCAACCTCAATTCTGAGCTGGAATGATCTTTGAATGCGTGCATGGCCCATCAAATAGTCTCTTGCACAGTCAGTCGACGTTTTTGTTGAGGTTTCCATCTGCCAGGATAAATCCAGCGCCTAACCGACTTAGAGAGATGGAAACCTCGACTGAGATATAATCCAAGATTTCAACACTGGGTCATGCGTAAGCAACAGCGCCATTAACCACTAACCCACCTAAACTTTAAGCAGCGACAGCTTATTTGTGTCAACAGAAGGGACAGCGAACAAAGCTGAAGAATTTAAGAGGGCATCAAAAGAAAGGCAACATCTTGCTCGACCACCAAAAACAGGAGGCGAAGGTTATAAGCATAGTAAATGGATGTATCGGGAGCCAGTAAGCGGCAGCGAAGCAACAAACCGAATAAAAGGTAGTAAAGGGCAATGAAGAAACGAGTTGAGAAAAAATATCCTTAGTTCAACTATCCACTCGCCTTATCCGAACCATGCTCATTCACTTTTAGGTAATTACTAGCTTTCCGAATCGTAGCCCTTGACCCTTGAGTAGTTCAGTACACAAAGGGGTTAAACATGTTGTTTTCCAAACGGATTCAAACTAGCGTTCTTCAACAGGAAAGGCACTAGAAGTGATGTTTGCCAATGTGCTAGATTAGCTTAGAGGCAAGGGTCGGGTCAAATTGGTGGGTTTCTTTGTTCGAAAAATTGGACAAGAGGTGCGGTGAGGAATGTTAGTAGGGAGAAGAAGCAAAAGGGCCACAGCAAATACTGGAATTTCCAAAAAACTATGACTGGTCTAAAATTCGGACCGGCTTACGGTAAGTGGTCCATCTTGTGGCTGCCTGATGATCCGTTTAATTTTGAGCATCTGTAGGGTATCGGCGACGTTTGGTGGGGTCATAGATTGACTAGATTTTTTCAGGCTCTAACGAATCTCACCAAAACGTTAGCCGACAATGTTTCTTGACAACCTGCTGTTGAGTTCAATAGAAGAAAAGTAAAATCTGAGATTTCCCTTCCCGGGTGGTGTGACTGAGAGAGTCGCACAGCGCTGCGAGGAGGGCGAAAACGCGAGAGCGCACGCCGTACGCGAGAGGGCGCGAACGCCTTATGTGCCGCTGCTGGTAAGAAGAAGCGCTGGCAACGAACAAGGTACCTCGGTTCGCGCACACTTGAATCAGGAGAGTGTAGCCATTCCTGTCCTCGAGGACCCCTCTTTTCTCACTTTGTGGGGGCTGGCTTTTGGCACCTAATCCCGACTGTGGCTTTAACGTTGCCCAATTGGTGGCTATGTGACCACTTTCTGGACCTTGAAGTTAATTGAGTATTTCTGGTGCGGGCTTGAACGCGCTCGACCCTTTGAACGTTTCCGGAGCTGATGCCCAATAAGTAAACGGCACGGCTGTTTGGATTTAGAATCCATAGTATAGAATTTTTGCCACGAAGAGACGTAAGCAGGAATTCTCATCGTTTAGAGGTGTGTGTAATTGCCTTGCCGAATAAAAGTGAGTGGTAGAAAATTCTTTTAAAGATTCGCGTTACTGCGGTGGGGCGGGAAGTGGTGTAGTGGCAAGTGGCACGCTCACCACGCGAGCGGTCCGGGGATCAAATCCTGGGTCGTGAGTCGCCCGGGCCAACCAAGCCTTTCCATCCCTCCGGGGTCGGTTAATTGGTACCAGACTTGTCTGGAGGATAAAAACACTGACTTGTACATCGGCTGGCCCCCGCAAGTCATTGTATAGGCCACATCGCATTCAAACGCCACTGCGAATGTACAAATGGAAGTAGAATGCGTGCGATCCCAAAAGGAATTGATCAACAGCAAATGCTTTATCCTTTATTATCCGTATCGCTTGACTGCTGCAACCCTGCCATTTAAACCAATCGCAGTATGCGCGGCGTCTGCGCCCTCTTACGTGGGACAGTTCCCCGCGTTCTCTCTCTCCTCGCAGCACTTCCACAGAATCACGATTCTGGCAAAAAACCAGCATGGACTTTACACTTTTTCCCCAATAACTTTTCTCTTCGCACGTCTCACCTAATTTGGAACAAAAACTTCACGAAAATTCAATCGCATCCCGTGCCATGACCTTTGTAGTAACTACAGCACTGCAATAACTGCTCGCGATTCTCCCTGGGCCAATCGAAGTTTTCAGCCAAAAAACGGATCATTGGACTTTATTTACCAAGGATGTTTGAACTTCAGCGAACAGCCTTCTAATCACATAACGAGTCACCACAGCTGCATCATACTGCGCTAAACCGTCAATGTTTGCGGACGAACAAACCTTCGATAGTTGCGCTGTTTTCGCCGTAGTTCACTCGGATCACTTTTCCAAGCGAACATAGCTAGTTGGGGCAAAGCCAATGAATGACAGCTTCCATCCCTCATTTTGGACAGAAATGCTCGTTTCAACTGTGAGGAAAAGGTTCGCTAACCTCACTGAACTTCGTGCAAGTTCGGACGAATGTGTAAAATCGTTCCGCTACCCATTGATTGACCTTTTATTCATTTCAAGAATAGTGACATTTTCTGATACTTTCCTGGTTGTCTACCTCGAGGGCTATAGTGCAGACGATGAATGTGCCATGTCACAGTTATGTGGTGTCTTCGAAGCTTTCGAGAAAAAAAAACCTCGACTAGGCAAGTGCTTCTTGGTAACATTTTGTTTACATGACCCCATTGCTAACCCGGAGCCCATGTAACACACGTTGACCCGCTGCGGACAGCTTAATGCATATGATGCACCGCGGCGCCACACGTACATGGATTGTTTTGCTTGATTTATTCAACTTTTTTCACTTTCTAAAAAATCATACTTTCGCATCCGGGAAATTAACAAGTCTCTACAGGAACTATTGGTAGGTCATAAGTTACTGATGAGAAAAGACCAATGTGAGATGCAGGAGGGTGCAAAAAATCAATTCGCCCATGGCGCATATCATCAAACTTTTCGTCGCACAGGGTGCCGCTGTTATGAAGTTTTACGGCAGAATATTCCTTAGATGTCCCCCATAGCAGAAGCAGGCCCTCCTTCACTGCCCTCACCGTCTTCAGAATATGACGTCATCTGCCATCACCGTCGAGCTCAACGAGGCCTACCGTAATCGCTCCAGCCTGAAGCTGCTACATAATTTCTTCAATCGTTCCGTGGTGAACAGATTTCTGGAGTTGGTAGCTCATACTAGGCGAGACTCATTCCGATTTCGGATAACGTTGTAAGGGTTCACGATTTGTCGAGGACTTCGTTGAGCGCCATCCGCGTGCATCATGGGCAAATTCTTCTGATGTCATCGGTGCAGAAAGCTATTAAAATATTACCTTTTCGATCGAATAGAATAAGCTCTTCAATAATCAGTCGAGACCATTTGGTTTAAGTTCAGCAAATGTAATGAATTCCGTTTGAATGTGAGGGAGAATGACCTATTTTTATTGGTTCCCCTCCCCTCTTCTTTCTTAAATGGAGTTCGGCGCTTAGCAGTGGGTTGAGTAGGAAACACTCTTTTCAATGATATCACAATGAATGGAGAACACGAGTGCAGCCTGACAAAAAACGTACAAAAAAAACAAAAAAGTACAGTTTTCATGGACTATACTTTTGCAGCATATGCAGCATGCTTTATGTAAGCTTTTCGTGGTTGGATGACAATTTCACTATCGAAGGGAGGCCCGAGAACGCTTATTGATACATCGATAAGAATGAATTAACTACTACAAACGTAGGACAGCTCTTGATCCTATGTGTTCCATAATACGGCCATTACCTCGAAAGCCCCAAGTTCTACCACGAAGATAAACAAGGAGGCTGATTTCGTCATTGCTAATCAGCTGAAGGGACGAACAGGGGAAGGGTCTTCCGCGACATCTCTCCAATATTTAACAACAGTCTTCGCGCGACTACTGGCACAGATTCAGCTCTAACACGTTGACGACATCGCATGTTTTGGCATTTTGCACCTCGTGGGACAGGAGCGATTTTGCGACGCGCCGTCCTCACCTTACTTCCGCTTATTTTTTGTTAAAAATGCACAACAACTTGAATCTCATAGAATTATTTCGGCAAGGATGAAAGCATAAAGGTTAACTATATAAATGGCAGTAGATTTTTGTTTAGAAGAACGCATAATGACCACGAAGAAGCAAAAAACACTCACGCTGCGAATGAAGTTAAAAGCGCATCGTATATTCTTCAACGGAATACATAATACCGGTGAAAATCACATACTGTTGTGGGCTAATACAACTAATTCTACAATCTTTCATATAAATGTTAACGACAGTGAAAGGAATACTAGGAAAGAATTGAAATGAAAGTTTTGTGCGTTCGGAAATTTTTGCTAAATCAAGGATATTTGACCACTCTGGCTGCCAGGCGGTTTATAGTTATGCTAATGTATTATCTATAGAATGAATGCAAAAAAGTTAAGAAGGAGGAGCGCAGGCGCAATAAAAAGAATGACATAGTTCTGACGCGCATACACGTCAGAATGTCCAGATGCCGGTGCCAAATTTTGACGCACAGAGGTCTGCCTGCGTCAAAGTGTTAATAGCAGGAGATAAGGAAAACCTAGAAGAATATCGTAACGAAACTACTTTATAACGGAAAAATGATGAACCAGTTCGCTAAGATGATGGACTAGGAGGAGGAACAAAGCGTGGATATTACAGCTAAATACGAAAAACAATTGTAGGTAAACAGGCTAACCTGACTAACGCAACTATTTACAGCTTCAAGTAAGCGTACGATATGAGTATATGCTTCAGACGCATCCATTTTTAATTCGACTCGTAACCTTGAAAGGAGTAAATGCAGTAACTTATCTCAGTGGTGAAAATGTTGCGAGCCACTGACCTATCCATCTTATTAATAACAAGGATGACCGTTTGCCCATGAGTAATCGCTTGCCGTAATAAAACTTCTGTTTGAGAGCACACACCTTCAACCTGAGAACACGGCTAAGAACTCGTCTCCAAAAATCGTATCTCGTCAAACGTACCACATCAACTAGTAACAAAGCTATGTCCGACAATAATAAAGCAGATGTTACTTCTGACGAAAAATCAATATGACCTGAAGAGATGGCTCATAAGACATGTAGCTGATCGAACAGTATGCTTGTGGCGAACCTGGACTATCCATTAGATTCACCAGCATGGGACCGTATAGTAATGAAATTCCGCTGGCTTTCATAGTTATTCCACGAGTCTGCTCGTCCTCACGATTGTCAAGAAACCGTAATTTTCCGGCCATTCGAGCTATAAAGTGTGGTATCCAAATGAGGCCCCAGAAACAACTTCCAGCACAAGCGGCTTACCAGAAATGATCGCGTTTGTCGAGACAAGTGAGTCGGCGAAGCATGTCTTACCATGGTCCACGTGTGCAATTAGACATATGTTTCGAATCTCATCGGGGGATTTCTGAAAAAATATGGTGATTGTTGTGCAGTGTTTCAGGAGAAAAAATGGTAATCTACTGTCGGGTATAACAGATCCTCTTAAATTAGCCACCTATGAGGTCATCAGCTGAAGAAAGACAAGACGATAATCAAAAACCTTTGGCAATCTTTTTGTGAAGATTTTGAACATTTCGCAAAAAATAGTCCATTTGTAAGCCCACATTTTTTAACACATTTGGATATTTAATGACGTTCTGAGGAAAAGGCCTATCACAAAAGACGGTTAGCACTGCTGAAATGCCACTTCTTTTGCCATCTCCAGGCGGTATGAAGGGGGTGACGATCGCACGCAGTGGGAATTTAATTTGCACATCCAGCATGTGGAAGTCATTTGGAAACGATTTCATGAAATTCTCTGACTGCTGGTCTGAGCAGGGGAGGGGGGGGGGGGTGAATCTCACTAATCCCAATAGCCACAGCCACCCTTTGAAAAACAAACTGTTAAAATATAATCGCCTAATATAATCAAATTTGTTGAAATGGCCCAAACTATTTGTTTCTGGGAAACTACGAATACTGAATGAATTCACTTCTAACCATAAGCACGGCCAAGCGTCAAAAATTGTTTGAAACCTCCCATTGGAGAGTGTCCTCAATATGACTCCTCCTACGGCGATAATGCCCATTGGGTCGCTGTACCTCGTTCGCACCGGCACATGCCGATCCGCCTCTAAGCTCGAAAAGTTTGTGGAGAGGCGGGTCGTAGGTATGGACTCTCACGCTCAGGCTCAAAGAGCAAAATTTATAAGACTTCTCCGAGTTTCGGAAAAAAAACTACAAGTTACCACCAATCTGTGTACTTATCCCCATGCCATTACACAAATATGAAACGTTCCCTTCAAATGCGACCCCTCAGAATAACAAAACACTGATTTCCTTAGAATACCCGACGGACGTCACGTATTCTGCATTGTGTTTGTTTCGAAACACTAATCGGCGCTACATGAATGCAACAACAACTATTCCCTTTTCTGAGGCATGACAACTATGCCATCTTGAGCGTAACATGGTTGTCAGGACTCAGAAATCGGAAGCTGATACCTTCAATAAAAACCACGTGTGCTATCTATCAACTAAGCACTGCGAATGCCACTATTACCACAGTTTAAACGTCGCTGCCTTGAACTCGTTGACACTGTCTAAATCGCGGTGGTTGTCCGGGACTTGTCAGTTACCACGTACATAGAAAAACCCCATGCTTAACTCCATAGACCGTAGAATGCCAAATGGAGTGGAGAGCGCACCTTTAGCTAGCTAGACGCGACCAACTCCCCCAAGTCCTCCGAGCATTGACTGTCA